TAAAGTAAAGGTCCTGGGTTCGAATGCGGGGTCGGAGGATTCGAACCCGACATACTTACCGAACCCCCGAAAAAAATGTTCACACGACTTCATAGTAAGGAAGTGCCTTCGTTTAGGCGGTTAACAGTAACTTGATGATTTGATTGATTGATTATTAGACAATCAGTACGGGGGTTTTCTTGACCTGATAAAAAATTAAATGCACCAGAATGGCAGATTAAAACAACCTACAAATTAATTAATAAATATAAATTCCTTTATTAATTAAAATAAATTATGAACAGGCATGGCATATGACTTTTCATTTCAGACTAATTAATAGGTATTCATCACGTTGAGAAATTTTCTCTAGTGAATAAAAAGTTTGAGAATGGAGAGTGAAGAACAAATTAAGTGAAACTAAAGATGAACAATTATCAGAGAAGAAATATAATTGATCAACATGTCTAAAACGTCTTCATTTTCGAATAATGAAATCACATGAAAGAAGACTTTTCATACTGTGTAAATGTTTTTTATTTAATTATTAAGACAGCGAGTGGTTTTATCCAAAACTGTACACAGTAAAAGGGAAGTTTAATTTTAATTAATGTGAGGCGAAACCCATTATTTTTAGAGTAGAGGTCAGCAGAGGAATTTGACCTTACACTGTAGATAGTTCAATAGATTGATTATTTAAAAAAATCCATTTCTTGAACTAATTTAAAACTCGAACAAAATTTAAATTTACATTTTCCTTGTACTTGAAACTTTTTGATTGTCTTAACTTTTCAACCTAATTAAAGATTTTAAAAATATATATAGCATCGTAAACGGCGGATATTTTGTTAAGAAAATATATAGGATCGTAACCGGCGGGTATTTTGTTAAGAAAATTTCCCTATCTACTGACAGATCAACAAATTTGGCCTGGAACTGTTTGTAAGCGATCTGCTTACGGACCTGTGCTTCTTATAAAGCTTGTATTTGCTGACCAGTTGCCTTATCGTCAAAGATTAGTTACAATCGATAAACTCTCAACCTCATAGAAACGCCTGTTGTGCTTAATTCGCTATGAATCATTATTTTCCATCAACAAGCTCAACCTAGGTCCAACCAGAGAACAGAAAAGGAGGCCGCTAAATTCCTAACACCGTTAAGAGAGAGAAAAAATATTTCCTCTTCCATATTGTAATCCGAAGACGTAAAGATTACAAATACGTATTAATAAAGAAAATAGCATACCAACACGAACAGACTAGAATGTGTTTACACGCATTTAATTATCTTTATTCACAAGATCCGAAGGTTGAATAAAATAGCTCAACTGACAAGAAAGACAATCTGTGTACTAACTCTGTCTATAAACAAAGATGGGAGTGACTCAACTGCGCACTACATTCCTCAGATGCCTGAAGCTCTTCTATAAAATGAAAGAAAGGCCTTCATCGGCTTAATTTATCGTAAATATTGGAGGACTGCATAGGCCAATTTCTTTTGCATCCGAAATATCAGTATATATACATATATATATATAAGTTTTTTGGTCAAACAATTTCATTATCAAGGTTGGACGAAATATAATATTTAAAAAAAAAATCTAAACGTAAAGGGAAAAGTGAAGTAAATTGTTTCCTGAAAAATAGATAAAGGACTTAGGGAAGCAAAGCCTTTATCGTATTTCCAATCTTATTTACCTGTTCCCTTGAACGAGTAATGCTTTTAAGGGAAAGCAGAAGTGAATGCCAAATTCTGGGAAATGCCTTCTGCGATAAATTCTTTGTGAAAAGAAGAATGGGGACGGCCGTTCGTGGATGGACTAATTATAAGTTTCGAACAACAGTACAATAACAACACCGTCAGTTTTATGTCACTATGTTGATATAGTGCAGTCCAGCGTGTTGTTAATTGTTTTGTTTTTAAATCAGCAGAATCGATGCCTGTTGCGTATTTTTATCTTCAAAAATAGAGCAGAATTAACGACCGACAAGTCGCACAGTTTTATTGTTCTATATACCATTTTTTAAAAACCCAAGAAATAGACTGCCTACCACCAGTCACTCGCCCAGCAAGACGAAAATCACAAAGGAGAATGTTTTGGGTCGTTGGTAATTTGTTACGGCCGATTTGACGGTTGCCAGCTTTCGGAAAAATTTCCAGGAAGTCGGAGGGAAAGCTACAGTTAGCTGCTAGCGACCTAGTTCAGATGTGGAAAGTGAATAACAAAACGACAAACCGTCTAACTAATCCTCTAAGGGGATGCTTTAAATTTCTATTTAATTATTTATAACGGCAAGTCTATTCGTGCAGGGTATTGATTTTCGTTAAACTTTACTACTTACGGTGTGCCGACAGAACGTTATATGAAACGAGGGCAATTATCAGCCTGGGAGCCCCCAAGGGTTAATGCATTAAAATTTAAAACGTTTCAGCTACAAGGCCGAGATTATGTTATAGACCTTAAGTGATTTTAAACAGACCCCAAGCAAAAACCAACCAAGAAGGGCCCTTCATAGCCCGACTTTTCAATGGAAAAAAAGCTTCATAAATCTACCAGTTTCTATAAGAATTTCACGTATGAAATCACATAAATCGACAACAATATTATCATAAAACAGTTCATCACGATTTATAATAAGATAACATTACTAAAGTGATTAATGATTGTCATTATTTCGTTTAGTCGGACTGATCCTGACAACTGACTTCTATAAAGGAAGTTTCGAGTAAGCTTGGAATGTAAACCATCCGGGAGAAAAAAACCAACAGGATGGCACCTGTTCTTTTTATGGATAGGAATTTCTATTGACTACTTGGGAAAAAAAGTCGCTATTAAGTTATTGAATGAGGCACAAATATTTTTTTTTAAATAATTAAATCAACCAGAAAGTTTTTCGAAGTTTCGATTACTCTTGATTATTGTTTTGAGATATGGGACGACAGCATTCCTATTCCGCGAGGAGCTATCCTCGTCCACAGGGAAGGCCACTCCACTGATCCATGCTAGTCACAAGCCGTCTCAGGATGTTCTGAATCTTCAACAATGTGAACAGTGGCCTAGTTATGTTAAAAAATAAATTGTAATGACTCCTTGACTCACCACTCTTGAACGATGATCGTATTGTTATATAATTAGTTAATTTACGATTTTCTTTCTATTTCTATTACCTTAATTTAGTCCTATATTTTCTTTAACTTCATTTATGCCCTTTGAACGAACATGTATGCCATGGCACCCCCAAGGCAGGGAAATGAGTTAGTTATTTTGAGCGGTCTAGTTGTTCGACATTTGTCAGCAGTCTAGCCGTCCCCTATTCCGGTCAGCTAATCGTCGCCTGTATATTAAGTACAGGCGTCACATAAGAAAGTAATGCGTTTGACCAAAACACAATAGAGAGATCGTCCTGCTGACGAAATCGGAATTTTGAGAAGTATTTGTACGTAATTAAGAAGGTTATGTTTTTTTTCTCTTTAAATGTTTCATTTATGGAAGCTCAAGTTTCCAGAACTATTTTGAAAATGATAGGATGCCGAAACGTCGCAATAAGATGGTAGAGTGAATCATTTTACCAACCTTCAAGAGGCAATTAAGAATTAAAGTACTCATAAAAGGAAAACTAAGACAACAAAAACGAAAAGTATAATAAAGTATTTGAATAAGTGGGTACTCTAGTAAGCTGTAAATACTTGTAACAATCGTTTAATCTGGGTGCCAGTCCAGCTTGAACATTTTTTTCTAGATTTTAAAACTTTCTTTACCTCTAATTTATTACTTAAAATTAACTCTTAGCTTTTTTTTTCTTTTTTTTTGTGGAAAGGGTCCATATTCAGATTGTTTCCCACGTTATACATACAAATACAATCCTTTCGGGTATTAAAATATTAAAATTGGAACATGTGGAATTTGTGGCATTAAACTTAAGGTTCACATGCAATTCCTATAAGGGGTAAGCTGAGTCGTATATAATTTTTTTTTAAATATACAGGCGACTTGAATCTTTTTCATCTACCAGGACGGGTTCGGAAATGCGGCGGATACGATTTTTCATCGTAGCCGGCCAAAACGACGCCTTTATTGAATTCCCTCGGTCTTGATTAGGCCAAAAATCCCTGGACGCACCACCACCCCTCCATCGGCCACGGCCGCGGCAAAGATGCACTTAGGGTGTCGACCCCGTGTTGCCATGGGAACAGCGAGCTCGATAGCTTCGTTTCAAAAACGGGGAAATGTGCACATAAGCCGGCGGCGGCGGAGGAGGCGGTGGAGGAGGACGGCACGGCGAGGCCTCACCACGGCCGCCCGTCACGAACCCACTCAAGCCATAGGGGCTAATGTTTAAAAAGGCCTTAATTGTTTATTCTACGTCTAAAATTAGATGGGTGTGGCCCCCAACCATCCGGTCCCAGTCAAAAAATCTCCCTTTATCTTCCCAACGATAACAAACGCCGTCTTTTCATCAATAAAAACTAACAAGCGGAGCATAAAACGGTGCAGGTCGCCCAAAGATAGAAAAAGATAAAACAAAAATTGATATATTACCTGAAAAAATGGCTCTATTGTTTGCAGCGATGTTTGAAAGTACAAAAATAAAGAAGCTTAAAAAGAAATCATGTAACGTACAAAATAAATTAATGCGCAGATAAAAATTATGAAAGTAGATTTAAAAGAAAAGTAATGCTTCTATTCTCTGCCTTCTTTTTAAAGTAATTTTCAATTTAAAAAGGCCAAAGAAAGCAGAACCCAGAGCTTGTTAAAGCGATGAAAAAAAAGTATGAATCGAAGCAAACATTTATTAAAGCGTTATAATATAATCGAAAAAAGAATACAAAAACAGGCAGGAAATATGTGATGTTCTGTTTTGTTTATACGGTTGAAACAAATAGTTTTTTTTTTTATTATTGAATATATGAATGTAGACAATAATGAAAGTGTGATGTCGGTTTGGGGGGTTGAGAAGCGTAGGGATTGAACGGACGCTAACTGCGAGAGAAACGAAAATGGCGGCGGGAGCGGCCCTTACCTCGTATTTGATGTCGGCGAGCCTGAGGTAGGTCTCGGCTTTGAGGCAGTACGGCGACAGAGACGGGATTACCGGCGTCCTGGAAAACTGGAATAAATAGACGACGTCCTTTTCGAAATTGGTCTTATGGACGAGCGGCTTGGGAGGCTGAGGTTCCGGCGCCGGGGCTGTAGCGGCTTCTTTTTCCACTTCTTTCTCTTTTTCCTTCTCCTTGGACTCGGGCTCTTTTGTATCCTGCGGGACGTCCTTCGCCGTGTCCTGGACCTCCTCTTTTTTAGCCTCTTGCTTGTTGTTCTCTTCCGCCATTGTAAATTATAAAATAATGTTTTGAAAATAGGTTAGAAACGGGAAATGGTACGTGCACTGAGTGAACTGTTCCAACGGGCGGTTTGTTGCCGACTGTCGGATGATCCGAGCTTGGAGCTGCTGGCGCTGGTTTGGGGCTCCAGCCTGGAATTGTGACGTCACGCGACCCCCTCCCCTCTTCGACACACCACACCCAACAATCCAATTTCTTTAGAACCGATCTATTCCGTTTGGCTTAGGGCCCCATTTCGAAAACCCTTTTTTTTAGATTTTCGTTTATGCCCTTTTTCGATTTATTATCGGGCCCTTTCACATGGAAGAATACGCCTTACATAACGCACCCCTTCCTCGGGGGATGCCAGCCAGTAAACGCCTAATAATTTAATTCACCGGCTTGTCCAACGTCCCGGGAACCCCCTCTAAACAGAAAAACAGATACGCCCTGTATAAAAATCAATGTCATATTTATGAATTTCACTCTTTAAATCCACACATATTTTTATTACACTTTCAATTAAACAAAATGGTAATAATTTATCGATATCTCATAACGTGGGCCATTCTACCATAAATATTCGGGCACAGGACAGCATATCCATGTAATAGAAATTATGAATGATGGAGTGAGTGTGGAGTTCAATCCTTTTTAAAAAAAAGATTGTTCCTACTCACATTAAGTTGTTGTTTCCTTCAACCTGACGATGAGCTAAAGGGCTCGAAATCCGGATTGTTTCATATCCGTGTAATATTTCTTATTAGTCATTTTTCTTGGGAGGGAAAATTATATTAAACATTATATTTTAGACATAATTAATAAGTAATATTGACAGCTTGCGTGCGTTTGCATATCTGAGGAAGAGAGGTAGAGAGAAAATAGTACTTACTACATGTATATTCGATTGATTATACACAAGTTTTCGTGTAATGACGACGTATAATTAATTGAATATATATTATAAAAATAAAAATAATTTTAATCGATATTTTTTATTATTACATATATATTCAATTAATTATAAACTATTTTGCGTATAATTATGGCGTATAATTAATTGAATATATGTAATAAAAAATGTTGTTCAAATAAAAATGTTGAATATATGTAATAAAAGTATAAATAATAATAATAATCGATAGAAATTTGTACATTATTCAATTAATTATACACGATTATTCGCGTAATTAATTGAATGTATTTAATAAAAATACAAATTATGATCATCGATAAAAATTAGTACGTTATTACATTTATATTCAATTAATTATACACAATTTTTCGTATAATTATGACGTTTAATAAATATGTGCAATAAATATAAAAATAATAATAATTTACGATTGCTCTATTGTGGGTTGTTAAGCTAGTTATGTCTAGGGTTAAGTCCATGTTGTTTATCGGAGTCAATGTTGAAACCCTTGAATAATTCAGAGTAGCATTTTGGACTACCTGGAGGTTAGCAAAATTGAATTTAGATTTCCCCAAAAGGGAGCACCATAAGTTATTAATGGGCATTTGTATAGTTCGTTCGTATAGTTCATAAATAACGTTTTAGTTTTTTATATTCCATATCGTTGACAATTAAAAATCCATTTGGTATGCCGGGATTCGAACCAAGGTTCACAAGCGTTGCAAATACAAATCGGACTCTCTTACTTCTCTCTACCGCGGTCTTTCTTGCCTCAATATCTTTATAAAAAGTATACTTACAGAAGACAGAAGTGTACGAACACGTCTTTCAACGTAAATTGTCTGATTTGTTGATTTTCGATCATAAAGGCTTAACTTAAGAATTTAAAGACTAATTTTTAAATATTATTTTCTTTATTAGCCTATTTTAAATAAGTGGAAGTAGTGTTGCTAATTATATTATAATAAATTAAATGCTTGATTAACAAATTAATGTAAATAATTTGAGGTAGGATGAGTTAAAAAAATTGACTGTGATATTTGAGACAGCATGAATCAATTTGATCTGTTTTGAAACACTGTATCCTTAATACACATAATTTCTGGATTATTTTAGTAAAATATAACTTCGTGATGAAGAAGAAGAATTATTATGAGAATTTGTTGGTAAGCGTTTTTTTCTTATTATTGTATAAGATTTTTTTAATATACGTATGCTGTCGGGAATAAAACTGGTTTCAAAATTAATTCATTGTCTATTTTGTATGTGCATAGGAAAACTTGCGTTCAGCTCAATGTTAAGAAACAATTTTGGCTTAAAAAAATTGTAAAAATAAAGATAAATTTTTCCATGCCCTGCTACATAAAACAGTGCATGCACTCTCAGAAAATTAAGTATTCAAACATATCACAACTGATAAATAAAAAAAATAATAGCCAGTAGGACTTCATTTATACCTTGCTACTTCAAAAAGTCAATTTATTGAAAAATTTTATGCAACATTTGGCCATTCTTTCATAAATGTTTGCTATTTTTTTTATATAAATAAGTACTTCGTAAGTAATACAATAGAAGATAAACAGTTTCCTTTGCCTTATCGAATTTCAATGTATAAACCATTAACTTGCAAACATTTTAATCATTTTCCTTGTTGCTCAGATATTAAAACGCTGTCATGTTCGTACTATATTTTTGTTAAAACGTGAGATTTGAGGTAGGGTGCGTAATATTTTAATAACTTAAAAGTTATGACGCTATGATTTGACAAATAGTAACTCCAGTTTTGAATAAGTTTTAATATTCAATTATTTCTATAATTTACTTAACGGTTGGTCACCGCCGGATGGTATGAATAACTGTGAATGAATGGTATATTTGTTTGGCCGGGGGAGCATTTATAGTATGAGAAGAGATCAGTCCTCATATGAAACACAAGAGGGCATATGTTTCCGATTAATAAAATTGTGACGTTCACTGAAGCCCCGATGGGATTAGTAAAAAGAAACTATAAGAATACGTCTACTTAAAAGAAATTGGAGTAGAAAAAAAAGTGTATTTATAACAGCTTAAAGCAGGGTTAGAGTCTGAGCCGTGAACTGTTAGATCCTTGAGCAGTTGTTGGTATTCGAATGACGGATTTCGTCTTGGGATGAATTAAACATCTGCCTATGCCCTAGTCTTTCACACTCCATATCTATTAATCGACCGCGACTTAGTTTGAATCCTAACTCTATAGGCAAACGTTAGGCAATCGTTCATTAATCATGCGCACATGCCAGGATTAATTTCAATTTTGTTTACACAAGGAAATAGCAACTGAAAATCCTTTTATGTATGATTTAGATGTAGAAAAACAATTTTTTTTAAACGTTGGCAAAATCGTCGAAAAGAATATGCTTACAAAAGGAAGTATTGGCTATTTATTGTAACTGAAACGAATTACTTATTTATGGTATTGTATCAATTATTATTTGCAAAATCACACAACATAATATAAGACAACAAAAACTGACTAGACTCAGGGCCGAAATATCTTTAAAATAGTATTTACATATGTGATGTTATTTATTGGAACAAATGTTTCCAATTCATCAAAATAATTCATTTAATAAATGGAGATTATCCCCAATTACCTCGAGGAACATCAAGTACTCTGGGGTGGTGTGAATGTAATTTTTTAACCAAAATGGCAAGTTTTATCCAATCACCCCGAGGAATATCGAGTACTTTGGAGTACTGTAGATGTAATTTATTAGTATGAATTGAGAGGCTTATTTCCAATTACTTCGAGGAATATAGAATACTTTGGGATAGTTAGAACAAAGCGTGGGAAGTGAAGTTGAATGAATTTATTAGCGTGTTCGAAAGGGCCATATCCCCAATTTTGCTGAAGAATATCGAGTACTCCCGGGTAATGTGAATACTATTCAGTCTACCATGTTTTTATCTTGATTATTATGTTGTACGTCATTTTATAAACAATTAACGAGGCCCTGAGGTACAAAGAGGATAGCAATAGGATAAAGAAAAGAGAGTTAGTTACCGTAATATCTTAAAACATCATAACTTGGCTGGAGAAATAGTAAAAGTAAAGCTAAGTAAATTAGTAAGTTTAAAACGAGAGAAAAAAATATGCAAAACTAAGAAAGGGAGGGCTGGCGATGAGCAATGCAGTTTGCCTGCCCTAAAAAAATTAAATATTAATTTTTATAATAGGCTACATGAATGACTGCCATAGTAACAAAAAATGATATACGATTTAAATTTATTTTTAAATGAATGTGGCTTTGAAAGAATATGTGCAATTTTTCACATACATTATTAATTTCTCGTATAAGAGGGAAAAGAGGTTTATGGCATACATAATTTGTTTTGTTAAAACACCACACACACACACACACACACACACACACACACACACACAACTGGGTTGAACTGGGTACATCTATCAATTGCATGACCGTCAGCCTGGAAGATATTGGTGTATTTTTCCATGGATTCTGAGTATTTGGTTCCAGGACCTTCTTGCGTTCTAGAACACACACCTCTGAGAATTATAGTTTTTAAAGTTATGGAAAAGCGACACATAAAACGTAATTATACAGAGTGAAATAATTAAAAAAAACACGATTTATCAATTATTTATACGAATAATAAATCACATCATCCATAAATGAATACGCTTCAAAATTCGATACATAATTTTTTTTCGTTTTCAAAATAAAATTATGAGGGAGAAGTGTGATTTTTATCATTTTTCAATGCCTTGAAGCCTAACCTTTTAACCATAAAACTAAATCTTAAAAAAAAGTTACATAGAAAATAGTTGTTTTTGGTTTTTGTTTGTTTTGCATGGAAAACGCAATTTTGGATAATCGATAATCTCAATTCTTCTTCTTTTGGTGCTTCGATCAAAAAATACTTCGTCCTCATTACAATTCCGTCAGAAACAATTAAAATTTTTTACATCGGTTTAAATAATGCCAGCTTTTACCCGATTGATTTTACTTATCTGTCTGACTAGATTTGACCTTTAGTATAATAATCGTTTGGATCTCTTGTTGATAAGCAGTAATGTTAGCTAGAAACGAATGTGATTCTTGTTGAATACGATATAACTGTTAAGATTATATCTTTAACTGTAAATTTTCAATTATTTTAACATTTTACGGAATATTATGTATTAATTTTTTCCATTGGTCTTATTTAATACT